CTATGAACTAATTTGCTAACTTAGTGTCGATATCCAATGATAAGAGTCGCATCTTCCAATTCCATAATGCATCTATGAACTAATTTGCTAACTTAGTGTCGATATCCAATGACAAGAGTAGAATCTTTCAATTCTATAATTCAACTATGAACTAGTTTGCTAACTTAGTGTTGATATTCAATAATAAGAATTGCTTTTATAATTTCTATAATGGATTTTATAATAGTATGTAAATTAGTTTTCTGTTTTTATCTTCAAAAGGGAATAACAAAAATCATCAATACACATCACAATTTAATCAGGATTCATCTTTATGACTTTTGACCTCAAATATTGATGAGAATATTGATGTGAGGTTACTGCAAAAACACATTGCTTGAGGTCATGTGATATTAAAAGGATATAAAGTGAAAGGGGTCATGGGAAGTCAATTGGAGTACATTGTAATACAGTAGAGCCAAGTCCAAGTCGCCATGATTGTACTATGAAAGTTCTTGTCTGCAAGAGAATTTCTTATTTTTAAACATATTTTTGGGGATAAATTTGTTCAAAATATTTCTTGGGTGATTTCTGGTTATTAAATCAACTACAGTTACTGACAATGGTTGGGACATTGCTGTAACTATGACAACAATACATGTATACACCCTACCATTTATGTGTTTAACACAGCATTTGAGAATTTAATACTGTAACCCGTTTTGAAATGACTACATTTCATTTCAGTGAATTTGGCACATATAGGAATTAGAATGTTAATTAAAAAACCAATCTCATTTTAATACAAACAATTATGCTAAACCATGCTCCAATTATTCCAGGGCAACGGAATTAGCTGAAATAATGTTTTGATGTGATCTATCCAATGTTTTAGATTTCCATGCCCTTGCCCAACTATGGGTCACATGTTTACATATAATCCGACAATTCTCCCTGAGAAAGAGATCTACAGAAACATGTGATTACCACCAGAGTTTTTGCATTTATATAAGCCACGAGTGAGGACTGATGCTATTCTGATGTTAAGTATTTACTGCCAATTTCAATTAACCTATGAGAAAATGTTGTAGGATATTATATAGTTATCATGTCCATATCTTGAAAAATGAAATAGCAGAGGATTGAAATTAGAACTACTGCTGGGAACAAAAAATATTAATATATCATTGTGTATGCGTGCCTAGTATGCTGATTTTGCAAAGGTCTTCTATTTCACAAGAATGTCTTGCATACTATATGTGCAGATTCTGTTTCTTTTGTTGAGTTTCAAAAAAATAATTTCAACCTTTTTTTTGAGTGAGCTAAAACCTATATAATGATGTATACAATTATAATTAGTGATACATTTTTTCATGAATACCGATATATAAAAACCAAATATTTTTTTAAGCAATATTTTGAATTTAAAATAATCACCATTTGGGGTGTCAATATAAAAATTTTAACAATTATTGTGAAAAAATAATTTTTAATTAAATTATGAAATTAACATTTGGTATTTGGTTCTGTGTATGTGAATTTGTAGGAAACAACCTTTATGGTGCTGAGGTTGTTTTTAAAAATATAAATTTTTATAAATCAAAATGGATATTAGAATTCAAATTGACCAATCCAGAAATGGCATTTAGACATCACCTTTGGTTCTAATTAATATTAATGAGTTAGTTCAACATTACCCAATCAGCATGTGCTTCAATTTGAATAAGTGAACAGTCACAGGTACTGTCATTTAAAGACAAGACACATTATGGACGTAGACAATGTTGATCTTTTGAGACAATTACACATTTGAATTTGAATGAAAGCTGATTGGTATTTAAAAATTCTTATAAATATTTTTATAAACTTAGGTAAGGTGCAGCTTTCTGCCTTTACTGTATGTACCCAGTAAAGCCCGAAAACTTTTTGATTTTCAGAAAACCAAACATACAAGTGAAGCTTAAGTCAAAACAATTGCCATATATATTTTTTTTAGCAAGATGACAATGCGACATGAATCTGTATCAATTTGTATCACAATGGTAACCTGATTCTAATCGACATCCACCAAATAAACTTAGCATCAGATATGATGTATGGTAATTATTTATTCCATTCAGTCCGACAGCTAAGCTGATTATGTGTGCACCATTCAACAATAATAGTGGCATGGGACTTCCATACGCAAACCTTTGTGTGTGATATACATGTAGTGTATTGCCCAAGAGAGTTGTAGGTATCGACACTACTACACCGATCAATTACTGGGGTTTCTGCACTCCCTCTACATGCTAAATCGGTTCGCATTATTCTTGAGTTACCTAGGTAACTCGCAATTCAGTTACATTTCAATGCAATATGATCAAAAGACAGAATTCTTGAAATTTTTAAATTAAAAACATGTAAATATAAAATAATTACTTCACTCATAAATTTTGAAAAATGCATCAAGGCACATGTTAAGCAAGAGTAAATTCAAATATTGGGACGACTGCACGATATTATGCATGATAAGGCAGAACGAATTTCACTAATAATAAATCTGTCTCAAAGTCAGCAGCAAGTGTGACAAAAAGCAATGGTTGTTGTGACCTGCAGTGTATCTATGCTGTGGGTCTTATACTATGAGTATTAAACTTTCAATATATGCATGGGGTGGGGATAGGGGGGGGGGTGTCGTCTGTTAACATAAAATGCAGTTGCACATGCAGTTGTGATGAACAATGTTTATACCCCTACAATTATGTCAGAATATATTTGTAGTATGTTATAAATACTTGGGTTATTGTAAAACTACGCCATAGCGTTGTATTCATTGCATCACCTATATCACTGTCGTGTTTTAAGCTCCATTCTCAGGGGCGGAGCTATATCATGTTCTATGTTGCTAGGATACGCACCACTGTATCATGTCTTTCAATGGGCTGTGCATGAGCTGCTGGTGAAAACAGCCAAAGTCAAGGAAACGGCACAAACCCAACTTTGATGTAATCCTGAACAACCAAATTTATATACATGTATGTTGCACATGTACCGGTAGGGGTAATCTTGTTACACTGTTCAGTGGAGTCTCAACCATCCCAAAGTACAGTTTCCTGAGAGTTTTCCGCCTTTGTTTTCACTATGATGGTTACCAGACAGTAAAAATGTCCGGATGTCCGCCCCTGAGAACAGATCAGTGAATAAAAAATGTAAATTGTATACATTTTTCAACATAGTGACAGTATAAAGCAATATTGTAATTCTATGACACTGCTGATATGAATATTATCAAATGTTAATAAAAAGATAATGACTCTCATAACCGTGAAATTGAAATCACCTGCAGCAAAGGTGCATATTTTACAAAGAAATAAATCAGCAGAACGTTTGAGAATAGGTGATTTTCCGTACAATTGCGAGATCTCGCGAGATGCATGAAAGACGCGCGTCGAACGTCTGCCGCAAAAATCGAACGATTTGATTTTGAACTCAAATTTCCTTATTTCGTAGCTCACACCGACTGACCGATCTTCGACAGAGGAATATTGCTTCCGAATACCCTTACTTAATCAAAATTGCCTATCATCAAATGTGGACAGCACATTATTAAGCATGGAAATGTCCCCGAAATACTTTCACGTTTGTCGAATCCCACGCGATGTTTGACGCGACTACGACGCTATGACCTTTGTTTGTCCTGTTTTTACGTTCGATTTCACGCATAACGCGTGATTCTCGCAGTGTACGGAAAATGGTCTATTATTCTGACAGCCAGTTTAGCAAGTTGGCTTGAGATTTTGTGAAAACTCTCAACATTCGCTTTGTTCTAGACTTACTAGTACTTTGATTAGTTTTCAGTGGAATCTTCATTATCAGAGCAAACCCTTTACTTTATCTACCCTTGTTATGAAATGTAGCTCATTACATATCCTTAACTCGGAATATAATTAACTGGAATATGTTACCCATCACTCGCTTGATCAATCTTTTTCAGCACTGTGACATGATACCAGTATAATATTCATGCCTGCAGACACTGCCCAGGCCTAGTTGCCAGGCAACTATACAAATGAATAGAGCAGGTATTGAATCCAAAATATGAAACAATTCCCAGCAAAAGTTTAACAAGATCTTAAAATACTACATACTATGAAAATTGTCATATATTTAAATTAAATTAAAATGCTGAGATATATAAAAGAAAAAAATTCTTGCTTTCAGGACGTTTCTATGGTTACTTGTTGGCTTCCTGTACTTGTGATCCAGCCATGGCCAAAATACGTTTATCCCCAGCAGCTGCAAACAAATGAATGACAAATTATTACATTACCACACTGATGGAAGCACATTGCCTTCTGACGCGGTTTTTGACAATCAGAGGAGGTTTTCAGCAGGAAATGTTTGTTATAAGAAGCTCACTTAAACAAAAAACATGAAAACTATAATTGCATGATGGATCTGGTCAAGTCAATAAAAACTAGACATGAATGTCACAGTCCTCGTTATTTAATTATAAAATACTCGTGTTAAAATAATTCATGGAACATGTGCAAACAATTGAAATAGTATGTACTCTATTACTACGTTCATGTTATGGGATCTCGGCATGTGACAAAATTTTTAATCCTTTGTGTTTGCAGAGGGATTACAGCAGTTTTGTTCATGTTAGTCGGGACCCACTTAGGATCGACTCGGCTCGTGCCAAAATCACGCCCTCATTAGTCGATCTGTTATTTGACCCAAACATGGAAAACGATATGCTTATGATGATAATAATATTTGCTATATTAAAATTATATTCATTTGCTGTTACGATATTTATTATGAGTCATTGTGCACATGAACGGCAAAGAAGATTCGAAAAACAATTATTTTTCACGTCAATGTAGCATTGCAAGAAAATAGAGGTTACAGCAGCACAGAAATATGCGCCGCTGACGACGGTTTGCATTAATTTCATTCATTACTACAGCATTCGATCATATACTAGTATATCTGCATTTCCCTTCATCGTCATTTCATATTAGTATGAATCAGCATATGTTCTTATAAATTTACTACCGAGGGCATGATTTTGGCTCGTGCCGAGCGTTCAGGCAGCAAATCTCGACACGTGCCGAGTTTCGGTCCCAAGCATCTATCGGGACTTGAATTTTGCTTAAACAAACAATGTATTTTTCACGTGTTGTATAATTTCTTATGGGTGCCATATAAAGTAGGATGCGCTTTAAAATTAGTTAAAACTTTAAGATCAGACTTTTAAACTCGATGTCTGTCAGCTTTCCTCTGCTCCTTGAGATGCACAATGTGAAAGCAATCTGATCCACAGTATTTAAGTTACATTTTAAATTTGAGCGTTACTTGAGATGGGCGGTGGTCATCGGGCAGTGCATGCTTGAATTTTATGTACACAATGTATTTTGCATGCGCTGTACACATTGATATGGGTCCCATATCGAAAAAAGACGTGGCGTGACAATCACCACCCTTAAGTAATTAGTATGCATGAAATTCAACCCTAAAATAAACACACATATGATTTGTCCAGAGCACGAATGCGTCAAGATTCACTGATACCTGATTAGTGGTAATTGAGATATCAGAAAATTGCGTAAATTATGCAAATTTGATACCTAATATGCATGGTTTTCAACCCTAAAAATAATCAGGTCTGTGATCAAGAGCAAGAGCACATATTTACCCAGTATCAGTTAAATTTGATGAGTGGTACTAGAGACATCAGTGGAATACCTATAAATTGGCTAATTTATGCAAATTAGGTAATTAGTATGCACAGAATTTAACCTTAAAAGTCTGTACACTGTCTTAGAGCATCTATGTACAGAGCTTCATTGAAATATAGATGAAAAGGCTGAAATTGGCAAAATATTCTGCAAATTTGATAACAAATTTCAACCCAAAACTAATCGGGACTGTGTAATGTCCCAACACATCTCAGTACCAAGTTTCATTGAAATCTGATAATTGGTTCCTAAGATATCAGTGGAACAGACACACATAAATCAATGCATAAATTCACACAGACAAGCTGCACAAAATTTTATTATGCATCCTTTTATTAATTGATCATTATATCTATTTTATGAATGTCTATTTAATATACACTATTCTTTACTCAATTATGTGAATTACATATCATTTTTCAGTCTAGACAAGGTAGAGAATTCAGACTTTTTTAAAATACATTAACCTTTTCACCATGAGACTTTCTTGCCTAAATTTTTCTGCACTTTTTTTCTGATATTCTTCAATATTTGTGGAAATAAACCCTTATTTTGGAGGCAACAGACACAATTTGAATCAATTTTCAGTTTTTACTAAAAAAAATTGTCTATTTTTATCCCAATCTTCTGAAGGAAAGTGCAGACTATAAATAATACGATTTTGTGAATTTGTGATGATAAACAAGCAGCCTCTCGGCTGAGATAGCTCCGCTGTTAGCAAGGCACATTTCAATTAAAGAACTGAAGATATCATTAGAAAATGAACAATATGTATAGTATGTATAGCAATCGGACTTGCTGTTTTTAACAAGAAGTCAAAAATATCACTTTTTACCAAAAATTACAAAAATATTCACCAAAATTAGAGAATTTAAGATATTATTACGAAATGAACAAATCTGAAAAACGTCCACATGTAGTATCTATATATGTAATATCAAAGCAATTGGACTTGCGGTTTTTTAACAAGAAGTCAAAAATATCACTTTTTACCAAAAATTACAAAAATATTCACCAAAATTAGAGAATTGAAGATATCATCATGAAATGAACAAATCTAAGAGAGCTCTACCCCAGGTACACACACACCAAGTATCCAAGCATTCAGGCTTGTAGTATTCAAGAAGAAGTGAAAAAAATTAAAACATTCAGACGGACGACGACGTATGCTATAATAAGCTTCTTTCAACAAAGTCGACAGCGGAGCTAAAAAGGAAACTGGTGGTTAAAACACCATCCCCCATTGCATTGAGGAATATAGTGAGTAAAACGTTTTGTAAAGAACCTTGTGGAAATCAGTCTACAGCAAAAACAGCTGTAATGTCAATCCTGTGTTAGTGACAATTACTATATTGAGTCTGCCAATAGCGAGTGACCAGTTTTAGGCAGTCCCAAGGCATAATGTGGGAGCAATCTGTGAATAAAGACCACCTGTCCCATGTGAACGCCGGTTCAGCAAAAATTTTTGAAGATTTGCCTTTGTTTAGAGACAAAGATAATAATAAGCAGTTTGTTTATACAAAAAACTTGTCAAACTCAAATAAATTTGTTTTTGTTAAAACAGTACCATCTTATATTTATTTTATATTATTTGGCAATGCAGAAAAAAAATAATCCAAACTTCATTTAAAGACCACTTGTCTCTCAAGACAACTGTTTGACTGTATTTATTTACATAGAATACCCATATAAACCATTAATCAAACACTGTAGTCTTGCTTGCCAATAAACACTGTTCTCCCAAACTTGGCACTGAGAAATCTTATGTTAATAAAAACCACTTCCAATCAATTTCACAAAGAAATTTCTTTCTGGAGCCTGACTGAGAAAACTTCATGAAAACAAGGATTAGTGGGAACACTGAATACCGGTAGTCAAATAAAAAATACATAGCTTTCTTCTCATACATTTTTAGTATACCATTAGGATAGCAGCTTCAAGCAAAGTTGAGTTATTTTCAAAAATGATCACTCATTGTTGTAATTATTAAATTAACGAGGACATAGCCGTAAGCATTTTAATTAATGAGTGATTAACTGTTATATGTACTAATAACAACCAAACATATAGGTGAGTTATGACAGATGTAATGGTAATAAAACCCTCTTTACAGCAAAGTGTAAACCATAGTTACTGTACATCATTTCATGTGTTGTTGCAAAGTGCCTGCAATTACCCATAATCCTGTGTGTTTTGTATGGACATATATTGGTTTGTATTCCTCTGATAAGTCCCACCAAGTACACAACACTCTGTGGAGGCTAAGAGCATACATTTTACAGACAAATCTTCGGTTTTCCAAATTGCTCAATAATTTAACGTTTTTCCTGAATAGTAGTGATTTTTGTGAACATTGTTTCAAACTTTAATTTAACCATATTCAACTGATAACTAAATTGCGAGATAACAACGAAAGGATATACCCAGCACCTGGTTGTTTCTTTGAATGGAGAAAACAAGGAAATCTACATGCTAGTTGCCAGTTGACGAGGACGAGTAATTGTATTGGTTTTTAGTACCTCTATAAATTGTGATTTTAAGCAAAGTTTAATATACTGATGACACATTTTAAAACATACTTTTGAAAAACAATTACAAGAGACAATTTAGATAATTTATAGTGTCCAAACTCATGTGCCAATAACAAATAATAATGACATCAATGTCCAATATTACACATCATAGAGAATTGTGGGTAATTTGTAGTGCTGAGTGATGTCAACCAAATATGGAAATATAGCTGTATTGTGATTACTGAAAAACGTTAAACTCCTGCTGATTGTAATTTTGATGATTCAAGAGAATTCTTCAGGACAAAATTTTATGTAATTCTCCATCTGAAGAACCTAAATGCAATATTTTTATGCAAAATTTTAAATTCTTGCTAAATGAGATATTGACGAACAAAATGTTAAGACTTTGTGGTTCTTCATCTTAAGAACTTGTACGCTCTGTGCAAAATTTCAAGTTTCATCTGTACTCATGAAATGAGAGCATTTTACAATACATAGTTCGCTATCCATGTGGCAATGAATGGTTTAAAGAAATTTATACCAACACAGTCTACCTTCCAGTCATGCACACAGTTTTATTGGCACAATAGCTACCTGGTATGATGTAACAATTAAAGAGTTGGTCTCCTGTGTTTTGTACTGGCATAGTTATATTGGGAGGCACGTGCGGGAATTGAGTCCTAACCGACGATAACAACACACGTAAAAAATGCAAAAGCTCATGGGTAGATGCTTGTTTGTAAACAATGACACGCTACGGCCATCTGATGCAAGCGCAGGTGGCAACTCCCCCGCTTTAATATATATAAAATCACAGATCTCTTTTGACACACCAGTCACAAGAATAAATCATTTTTATTTTAATTTATTTTCACAAATTTTGATAAAAACATGTGGCCAATTGGAAATATATAATGTATAAGTAATAATAATTGGGAGTAATATCTTATAACCCATTCCTCCAAGGTATAACTCCCCTCCCCTTAATGTATAATGGTTGTCTCTAGCAGATTTGCTGGTAAATAGTGATTATTAATTAGGTCATATTGTTGTTGTATAGTTATCAAAAATCATTCTAATATCACACACCAGGGCAAGCTTTGATTATCAAAATCTGCTTATTCTTTCTAATGGGTTGCTCATTTGAAAATCTGGGGAAAGAATTTTTTTTTTGAATTTTGGCAAGAAATATTGTCATGGGTGGATAGAAAATAGATGAAATTTCCACGAAAAAAGTAAATGCGAATAAAATATTTCTGCAAAAAACTGAATTCTTCAACCCCCCTGTTCAAATTGGAGATTGCAAATAACTAATTTTTTGGCTTGTTTTTATTTTGCAATAAATTTGTGTCAGGTGTGAGTAGCTTGTCTATACGTACTATATATAATTAAATCACGGAAGCCGAATTATAAGTCGGTGACTAAAATAAGAACTTGAGCAAGTTTCATACTATATACATACCTGATTCCCCAGTTACTTTTTCAAAATCATTCAAAGCCTTGTTAGAATTGCTAGTCAAGAAAGCTTCTTCAGTTGGTGTGAGCTGCAGATGAAAAAATAATATTACTATTATTAATGACATAGTCCCTGTTACCAAAGATTGGCCATGTACCTAATAATAGGATCTGACTGCAATACTACAAGTCAAGTTAGAGACAAAAGTAACAAAATTTAATAATAAAGTTGACTGGGATTAACCTAGACATGTTTGTAAACATGTACATATACTAGATTTTAAGACCAAAATATTTACAAGCCATCCAAATGTATATACAAATTTTATACTATTACTGATATATTAATAACTTTATTAATTAACAAGTGCCATCTGAGGGTACTGTATGGTAAAGACAAAATATAAAATACATTTCACAGACAAAAACAAATGATGAGAAACTATTAAAGAAGCAAATATGTATTATAGAAATAAAAAAAAAAAATCTTGTTCTTATTTAAATTTTGTATATATTGTATTTTTTAATTATTCAATTAAAAGTTTTCAAAGTTTTTTTTTAGCATTTCCACTTTCTGGTTTGTTTCGATATCACATTCTTTAAATAATAATTTCCTTTCCTCCTTGTATAATTCACAATCTTGGATGAAGTTAATTTCATTGCATTTTTATTTCATTTTAAGTCTATTCTTTTCTTCTTATGAGTGGTTTTATTCTTCTACCTAATTTGATTTCCAAATTATAGTCACTGATTCTAAAGTCTTCTCATGTTATAGCCTTTTATTTCATTTAGGTATTTTTCCATTCCAAAGTCTGTTAATTTGTTTCCCTCATTTTGATTATTTCTACAAATATTTAATTGTTCCTTCCAGGACTGTTTTTAATCATTTCTCAATTTATGGTCCATAATTTTTGATAATGGATTGATATTTGTTATCTTTTTCTATAAATACAATATAGATAAGAACAAAAAAACATTGCATGCATCAATATTGGTATATATAACCAACCATCTGCCACATACGACGTTGCAAAACATGAATTGGACCTGACCCAGTAGATGAATGAGCTTGTTGCGTGAGCATTATCATTTGATAAGACAAGGAACACGCATATTTAATCAAAGAAAGCTTAGAAAGAACTCCCATGTGCTGAGAGTATTGGAAACACATTAAATATAATTCGAAATTACTTAGCTGAAAACTAATTATGCAAATCAGAAAATTAATATGACCAGATTTGAGTGTAAAACTAATGAGGTCTGCGCAATGTAACAGAAAATCTATGTCTCCAAGTTTAATTGAAATGTGATTAGAACCAAAAAATTATGAATTATTATGCTTATTAGGGAA